AAGAGCGCCGGGTATGCTTGTTATCTAAAGACAAGTTAACCAACAAGCTCTCATTGGGACATTTTCTTGTCCCCTCACAAAAAAAAAATGTTCAGCTACTTGTGTTTTTGTCTTTGTACTCGTCTGCAGTAAGTCGTCACGCATGTACGTCCATCCATGTTCTTTTAGCTGAACAAAATTGGGTACATCAACAGCGTGCTGGTACAGTATTCTTTATGGTATTTACACAGTGGGAACACAAGTTACTTACGTTTCCATGTCATATTCCGTCACACAGGAAGAAAATATTGTTGCAAATAATGAAATCTGTCAGCCTGAGCTGGGAGATTTCAGTGAGGCAAGTATTCCATTCAGGGCTCAACAGCTACGAGAACTTCAAAGACTTAGTTGCAGCAGAGTTAGAGTTTCTGTAACTTAGAAAAAATCATCCTTCAGGATGCCGATTGCACACGAGTGTAGAGGGGTTGAAAATATTCTTTTAGGGGATGGAGGGGTGATTTTGTCGGGGTAAGGGGTAGCAGGGGATGTAGGGAAAGTTTGTGTGTGTAGAGGAAGGGATTAAGGAGCATGTGTGGAGGGGTTCAGGATGTAAATAGGACTCGAATGGGATTAAATGCTTTTAAATTACTATAATCAGGTACAGAGGCAGCGGAGTAAGGAAATTTGCCTATACGTCTCACCCTGCCCAGGATAGAAGCCACGGCAGTCGGCTAATACCCAGGTACCTATTTACTGCTAGGTGAACAGGGGCAGCAGGTGTAAGGAGACTTCACCATACGTCTCGCTGAGCCTGGGGGATCAGTTGTGGGAGTCAGGTGCCTGTATGGGGTGGGAGAGGGGAGTGTTGTCCGAGATAGGGTGGGTTACACTGATTGCCAACCACAACATCAAGCCAGCTAACCAACCATCTAGCCAGCCACTCAACTATCGAGTCGACCAGCTAGCCAGTCAACCAGCCAGGCGGTTAACTGCCCGAATGCACAGTAGAGCGAGTGAGTAAGTCAACCACTCAACTGTCAATCAGCCAGTCTGTCAATAATCTGATTGAAAACAGTATTGAAACATTCAATTTTTTTTTTACTTAAAATAAGTGTTTACAAGAAGCAGGAGATTTCGTCCCTCGAATCGGCGATCTTCATGAAAGAAACAAGAACTCACTGATATTTTGAATCTAAATAAAAATGTACTCAGAAAAACGTTTCGACCCTCATGTTCTTAGCTAGCGTATATAACATTTTTGGTTGGTTGGTTAACGGGGTTTCAAGCATGTCGACTACATCAGGGTTGCACGCAACCTTCACACCACCAGAGAAGAATACCAGACAACCTAAAACTAGGATTAAATTGACATCTCAACACATATACGCAAGAATACATACATCTCCCTGTGTATGTATCCTGCGACGTGTATTTTCCAGGCACTGACCTAATGGTTAAAGGACTTGCTTGACTCGGGCTCGAATCCTCGTTCGGTGAGTTATTTTTTATGTTTCAGACGAGGTAAATAACAGAAAACCGAACTATTTGTTGAGGGAGTCAGCACTGAGAAACGGGCCTCATCCCGTTAAGCAAAAACGGGACTCCTGTTATTTTTAAATATCAATGTGTGTGTGTGTGTGTGTGTGTGTGTGTGTGTGTGTGTGTGTGTGTGTGTGTGTGTGGGAGTGCCCAGTTTTTTTCCTGCATGCCTGGTTTTTGTGGGTTGTGGGGGTGGGGGTGGTATTGTGTGGTGATGCTGGTGGTAGTATCACATCATGATCTTATCTTACCCCTCCACTCCCAGCCACAGAAGTTCCTTCCTACAGTAGTTCCTTCCTACAGTAGTTCCTTCATACAGTAGTTCCTTCCTACAACAGCTCCTTCATACAGTAGTTCCTACAGCAGGTCCTTCATACAGTAGTTCCTTCCTATAGCAGCTCCTTCATACAGTAGTTCCTTCCTGTAGCAGCTCCTTCATACAGTAGTTCCTTCCTACAACAGCTCCTTAATACAGTAGTTCCTTCCTACAGCAGCTCCTTCATACAGTAGTTCCTTCCTACAGCAGCTCCTTCTACGTAGTCTTCCTGTAGCAGCTCCTTCATACAGTAGTTCCTTCCTACAACAGCTCCTTCATACAGTAGTTCCTTCCTACAACAGCTCCTTCATACAGTAGTTCTTCTACAGCACTCTTCATACAGTAGTTCCTTCCTACAGCAGCCCGTCATACAGTAGTTCTTCTCAACACTCCTTCATACAGTAGTTCCTTCCTACAACAGCTCCTTCATACAGTAGTTCCCTCCAACAACAGCCATTCCTCTTCCCCGCACAATTACCCACACGTGTTTAGTTTACATTAAGTATATTATTATACAAGTTCACAGTCTACCTCGGTGTGAAACATCTAGCGTATTAAATAATTACAATAATAATAATAATAACAGTATGGTATATTTTGTTATTTACCCTCTACAAGATCGTTATTAATCGTCTGTTTTTGCCAATCCTTTTGATAGCCTAACAACCCCTCTCAGCTTCTACAGTCTTCTAATTGCCTCTAACAACCCTCTTACAGCCTCTAACAACTCTCTACCAGCTTCTAACAACCCAGTAACAGCCTCTAACAGCTTCTAACTACCTTTAACAAGCCTCTAACACTTTTAACAACCTTCTACCTGCCTGTAACAACCCTCTTACAGCCTCTAACAGCTTCTAACAGCCGTCTAATCACCCGGCTACCTCCGACAGGTGAGCGAGTGGTTCGGAAACATGCGTCGACGGATCCGTGAGGCGACTCGTGGGATGGTGCTGTGCTGGGAGGAGCGAGTTCGTCTCTATAACACTGTCATCACTGGCAAGTCGGAGCCTCTGCCCATCCTTCCCGAGGACACCATCAACACCTGGGTTCCTCCAGTCCCTCAGGGTGAGGTCCTGCTGTGGTGGAAATGCTCGAGGACAGCGTCCAGAGGGACATGAGCTAGGTTACGAGGGACCTAGAAAAAAAAACTGTTTGGTTACTCTGCCCTCTCTCTCTCCTGACACCATCATCTCTCTGCTCTCTCTCTCTCTCTCTCATACTTCCTCTGCTGGTCGAATGAGGTAAGACTGGTCCAAATAGAGGACTCATTAAAATTAGTCTTATCAAATGATCTCTATTCGAATAAGATATAATGTTTTTCATTTCTCTTATGACTTTCTCTCTACCAAAATCTTAGAAAACTTCTCTACCTTTCATATACAAGTGGCAATTTATTTAGCTATGACCATTAAATATAATCTTTCAATAAGTTACATATTCTATAATAAACAAATAATATTTTTTTTTCGTTTTCATAATGATTTTTGCGAAATTACGCATATACAAATTCTTGCATTGCTTATCGCAAAGGCGTGCTTATAAAATGCCAAAATGCAATTTTACCTAATTCGCACGACAACAACAAAACATACACAACATTTACACACACTCGACCCCAAACCATCAATAGTGATTTCAAGCTTAGTCAGGAATGAATATTTGGAAGTGATGTATGGGCAGGATCCATACAAGCTTTTGAGAGTATGCTAAAGTCTTGGGCGGAAGAGCGACCCAGTAGCGTGCCTAGTGAAGAGCATGGCCAGGACTTGACCTACGGACCCTGCAACCACAACTACTGACACACACACGTGACACACACACACACATATACATATATACACTAATACATATATATATATATATATATATATATATATATATATTTAATTGTTTGTGTGTGTGTGTGTGTTGTGTGTGTGTGTGTGTGTGTGTGTGTGTGTGTGTGTGTGTGTGTGTGTGTGTGTGTGTGTGTGTGTGCAAGAAAGAGCCAGATGTACACTTAAAGACAAAACCTTCCAAAAAAAGTATGTGAAGCAGCTTATATTTAGTAACTGACTCATGGCAGTATAAAAATGTCAACAAATACTTCCATTGAAACTATTTGTATCTAGTTTTCTTAAGCAAGACATAAACAAGAGACTCGTAAACTCTCAAAGAGAACAGAGAGATGTTTAGATATAGATACTCGTAAACTCTAAGGGAGAACAGAGAGCTGTTTAGACATACTCGAAAACTCTTGGATAGTATGTAGAGGGGGTTTATATGTCTAAGAGAGAGACGTTCATACTTTTAACACTACGAGACACTCTTGTTATATCTGCAGTGAAAATGAATGAGACGAAGGAGTGACCCCCCTCCTCAAGCCTGGCTATATCTTGAATAATAATAATAATAATAATAATAATAATAATATTAATATTATTATTATTATTATTATTATTATTATTATTATTATTATTATTATTATTATTATTATTATTATTGCTGTTTCTGCTACTTCTGCTATTACTTTAAATCACATAAATGATACCACTATATTTCCACTTCATGGCTGTATGTTGTATGGAGGCACATTAGATTTAGAAGAAAAAAAAAGCTGTATCAGCATATAGTGTATTGGAGATAGATAAAAAGCCATATTTTATCTTGGTAAATATCTCTGTACTGGCTTCTTCTTCAGATCCTTCTGGCCTGGATAACCACGAGGAAGTGTCCATTTCACCCAAGTTTAAAAAGACACTGATCCATCGATACCTCAACCACTCCTTGGAGGCCCCAGTAAGATCCTCCAGTGATCCACAGCTTCATCACTCCTCCGCCTCCGCCTCACCTCCGGTAGATAACCTCCAGCATTACAAATCTTCAGCGTCCGAGACTTCAGACTGCGCCCAGTCCTTGCCTCTGTGTACTTCCAGCCCTAAAGGTAGTTCCCAGGCGCTCTGGAACGCCTCTTTTGAGAACGTGAGAGAGGGGCAGGTTCCTACCGTGGGCTCCAGGCTCATGGGGAGGCCAGAGCATCTTCAAGGAAAGCTTCTGGGGGAGGAGGAAGGTCGCGTTCTCAAGAGATATGATCACCAGCAAAGCCTCAACTATGGGCCCTCGAATTTTAAAAGACAGAGGATGCTAGAGCCTAATGAGGACTGGCTCCACCGTGCCTCCACGTCTCGAGACTCCACCTCCAAAGACTCCACTCTCCGTGCCTCCACCTCCAGAGACTCCTTTCCTCGCGTCTCCTCCTCCAAAGCCTCCAATCCTCGTGTATCCACCTTCAGAGAGACTGCCTTTCCTGTTTTTTCGGGCGACGGGACGTAGCCGCTGAGGGAACGTTCTACAGCAGTGGTGTTCAGGTGGGACCGGGTGTCCCTGGTACTGGCCTGGCCTCGTTCGCCCATGGCACCAGCCTGAGCGATGCCAGGTCTTCAGGTAAGGTTCTAAACTCTCTCTCTCTCTCTCTCTCTCTCTCTCTCTCTCTCTCTCTCTCTCTCTCTCTCTCTCTCTCTCTCTCTCTTTACTAGAATAAAGTCTGTGTTTACACTTTAGTCTTGGGCGCTGTATGACCCAGTGGCAAAGCGCTTATGCATGAATGTAATACTAATAATAGATAATAGTTAATGGGAAATCCTTGCTAGTAAGATGACAACCTAGCTAGTAAGTGGACAACCTGGCTAGTAAGTGGACAACCTGGCTAGTAAGTGGACAACCTGGCTAGTAAGTGGACAACCTGGCTAGTAAGTGGACAATCTGGCTAGTAAGTGGACAACCTGGCTAGTAAGTGGACAACCTGGCTAGTAAGTGGACAACCTGGCTAGTAAGTGGACAACCTAGCTAGTAAATGGACAACCTAGCTAGTAAGTGGACAACCTGGCTAGTAAGTGGACAACCTGGCTAGTAAGTGGACAACCTGGCTAGTAAGTGGACAACCTGGCTAGTAAGTGGACAACCTAGCTAGTAAGTGGACAACCTAGCTAGTAAGTGGACAACCTAGCTAGTAAGTGGACAACCTAGCTAGTAAGTGGACAACCTGGCTAGTAAGTGGACAACCTAGCTAGTAAGTGTACAACCTGGCTAGTAAGTGGACAACCTAGCTAGTAAGTGTACAACCTGGCTAGTAAGTGGACAACCTGGCTAGTAAGTGTACAACGACTAGATGTACAATCTAGCTAGTAAGTGTAAACCTGGCTAGTAAATGGACAACCTGGCTAGTAAGTGTACAACCTGGCTAGTAAGTGGACAACCTAGCTAGTAAGTGGACAACCTAGCTAGTAAGTGGACAACCTAGCTAGTGAGTGGACAACCTGGCTAGTACGTGGACAACCTATCTAGTAAGTGTACAACCTGGCTAGTAAGTGGACAACCTAGCTAGTAAGTGGACAACCTAGCTAGTAAGTGGACAACCTGGCTAGTAAGTGGACAACCTGGCTAGTAAGTGTACAAACTAGCTGGTAAATGTACAACCTGGCTAGTAAGTGGACAACCTGGCTAGTAAGTGGACAACCTGGCTAGTAAGTGGACAACCTAGCTAGTAAGTGGACAGCCTAGCTAGTAAGTGGACAACCTGGCTAGTAAGTGGACAACCTGGCTAGTAAGTGGACAACCTGGCAAGGAAGTATACAACCTGGCTAGTAAGTGTACAACCTGGCTAGTAAGTGGACAACCTAGCTAGTAAGTGGACAACCTAGCTAGTAAGTGGACAACCTAGCAGTAAGTGGACAACCTAGCTAGTAAGTGTACAACCTGGCTAGTAAGTGTACAACCTGGCTAGTAAGTGTACAACCTGGCTAGTAAGTGTACAACCTGGCTAGTAAGTGGACAACCTGGCTAGTAAGTGGACAACCTGGCTAGTAAGTGGGAAAACTGGTTGAGTGGACAATATGCGCACTTATTATAAAAATATCTGGAGACACTTTTAATCTAGATGGGTTGCAGTCGCTGTGCGATCCCAGGAAGGTATCCTCTTAGCCTATAAGCTCAGCCTCCTCTACCTCAGTACACGTCAAATGAGTAATTCAGAGTGCAGCTTAAATTTTTAATTTAGTGAAGTATCCCCTTTGAGGATTTTGAAGCCAGTCAAAGGAGGAGTTTAAAATTACCGCATAAGATAAGATAAGATAAGATTTCGTTCGGATTTTTAACCCCGGAGGGTTAGCCACGATAACCCAAGAAAGTCAGTGCGTCATCGAGGACTGTCTAACTTATTTCCATTGGGGTCCTTAATCTTGTCCCCCAGAATGCGACCCACACCAGTCGACTAACACCCAGGTACCTATTTGCTGCTAGGTGAACAGGACAATAGGTGTAAGGAAACGTGTCGAAATGTTTCCACCCGCCGGGAATCGAACCCAGGCCCTCTGTGTGTGAAGCGGGAGCTTTAGCCACCAGGCCACCGGGCCATGGAAACTAATATCAAAATTTCTTCAATTAAAATAACAAATCGACACCTATAACAGCGTTGTAGGTTTGAAGACGATCAGATGAGGCATTCACATATAGAAAGACAACCAACATTAAATTTTTTTCCCAGTTTATTCAGGAAAATTGGCCAAAAAAAATCTGTATAAAAAATTTCTGATTTAAATACATCATTTGATACACAAAGTAATGTAATATACATTACTCAGATTTAAATAGTCTATGTGACTAATTTGCATACATAAAAATATACGGAAGGGCTTTAAAACAGAGAATATACATAGGTATTTATTTGTTTACGGTTTTTACCCTAGTTTAACCTAGTTTACCCTAGTTTAACCTAGTTTACCCTAGTTTAACCTAGTTTACCCTAGTTTATCCTCCATAGATAGGTACCCTGATACCGGTGAAGGGCGCTTGATCCAAGGAATTAGAGCTGACTCTTCCTAGGATCAGATCTAATTACATGCCATTCCTGAGTGACCCATGTGCATTTAGCTCTTCACCATGAATTATGAAGCGAAGAATTTGGATAGGGAAAAGTTTTCATAAAATCTTTTTAGCAGACGATAACTTAAGTTGGTGATAACTTAGCTGGATCAGTAGTTATAGTGCAACATGTGCTAAGATTGTGATTTTTGCAGATGATGAGTGGGGCGGCACAGAACAATGTCTGCGTCAGCCCGAGGAACTAGCAGCTGCCTACACCCTCGTTCAACTCCAACATATGTGACGTCCACGTCCACGCCTCTACATGCAACATGTGTGACGTCCACGCCTCTTCATGCAACATGTGTGACGTCCACACCTCTACATGCAACATGTGTAACGTCCACGCCTCTACATGCAACATGTGTGACGTCTACGCCTCTGCATGCAACATGTGTGACGTCCACGCCTCTACACTCTCATTCAATACGTGATGTCTTCTCTACACCAGCACCAACTTGCTGTCTCTCTCATCTGAGAGCTGCACGAGAATCGTTGAGTTTTTGCTTCAAAGTGCCTTGACCGAGGATTAGAGGCATTGACTGTTTATCCCAAACTTCTGTCACCCATCAAAAGTGTCATAGAAGGGCCAATGCTAATCCTGAAGTGTCTTAAGGCACTTACGCGCCTCTTCAACCGTCTTCCGTGGGCCACAGGGCAATGCTTGCCTCATGACCAGGCAATGTTTACCTCACATTTTTCTGAAGCATCACACCAGGGTCAGCTAAACGCCTTGTCAACCTTCGCTTACTCGATGCATCACACGAGGGTCGCTGCCAAACACTGTTTCACACTGCGCCCGGGGCATCTATGTGAGCAAGGAGACTTACTGACGCAGTAGAAGGAGACTTCTACTGCCACACCAACCGTCTTGTGCTCCTCGAAGAGGTAACATCTTCACTTCTAAGGTCATGTGGATTTTCTCGTGGGCTCCCGGTGTTCCTACATGTCTTTTCGCCTCTTGTTTTGAACACACTTCCACTTAGCACTTTAATCTCCAGGAAAAGTTTCCTGGCCTCTCCAGACACAAGAGTCTGTGTTGTCCCTCTTATTTCTAGAAAGTTTTGATGCCTTCCTTCACGCAAGGTGTCGCCTCAAGCCTAGGAGTTATGACGCCTCCTGGAACCTGGGAACTGTTGCACCGTTCCTGAATTCCATGAAGCTGGAACGACTTCTGGTACTCGTAACTCCTGTGGAGAAATTGCAACTGGTGCGAGTGCCCCTGGACTCGCATTTCCTGACTTTCGTTCTCATTTTTTTTGTGATATCTTAACTTCCCAAGATATGTTTTTGATCTGCCTCTAAGGTATGAACAGATTAAAGTTTTAAGTGAACAAGTGGATAAGAGTGAGTGAACATAAATGTAGTTTAGTTAAAGACTTTTGGGAGTTGTGGTGTTTGATTTAAGATGAACTCTGCCTGATGAGTGAAAGAAACTAGTTGATAAGACTCGACGAAACAAGTCTTCCAAGAAAGTACAACTCCGCACTGTGTACAAATACAACACCTGATAAACCAGCTGAGCAGCGTCAGCCGAGCACCTGGAAACACACCAGTGTAAATTCTTGTCATACGTAGTGGCTAGAGTCAGTTCTGAAAAACTTCTCCGTTGTTACGAACCTCACACGAAACTTTGCTGCCTGATCTAGTGAAGGGATGTCTATAGCACTGCTGGCGCGCAGGCGTCCCACTGTCAGACTATTCGCACCTCCAGCGACACTTACAAGACGTGCGAAGAGGCTACCGAAGTACCTGTGGTAGCGCTCGGCACTGACTCCTGCTGGAGTGTGGCCACCGTCACTCCCAGCAAAAAGGAGACACCTGCCACCGTACCTGGACAGGCAAATGGTGCCGATAAATATGGTAAAGAGAGAGAGAAAGAGAGAGAGAGAGAGAGAGTTTGTAGAATAAATGCTTCAGATTCGCTCTGCAAACTCTTCACCACAAAGGCCACAATAGCTGATGGTGTCCGCCGACTCCGCCCCACCACTAAAGCGGGACCAAGACACAGTGACCTTACCTATTACAACATACGTCAGGACTCATAGGCGTAGCTGAGCTATATCCTGTGTTCTCTTGTTTACAAAATATTTCAAAGCAGGTCTTTGAATCCGTCATCTTCACGTCCCAGTCATCACTTGAATCAAGAGGCAGGTTTTAGTAAACAATGGATTGGTTTGCGTTCTAGTAAGCCAAGAAACAGAGGACTTTAGCACAAAATAGTGTGGGTGATTTATTTATGTTACATCTAGTCTTTCAATTGTGATTCGATGGAGAGATCTCACTGAAGGGGCGAAATGATGCATGTCACGCACCTTAGACCTTAAAATAAAGGATGAGTTTGTAATAATATTTGAGTGGGGATCCTGGTGTGGAGTGAAGGTACAATATGTAAGATATGCCAGACTCTCTAGAGGGTTGTTAGTGATCGTGATAATTCATCGGTATAAGAACGTACCAGTGCAGTGATGAGTAGCAAGTTCTGGCGTTACCGTATGAATATTACATTGTTTGTAATAGCGTGTTTCAGTTTACGTGTGTAACAGCAGTGCCGCCAGTACACAAAGGGACCGGACAATATATTTCGGACCACGCTCTCATTTCATAATACTTTCAGGGCATCAGTTGACTGCTCAGAGCTGAGAGCATTTTGCAGTATGACCTGAAAACGCGTTTTATATCGTTATTTAAGTGGGCCTATGTGTGTCTCAGCCCTCAGAGACTGTCGACCACATGTGTGTATGTGTGTCAGTGTATCCAGTACAATACACCAGATGTCTCCTCCAAACATAAACTATGGGGAAGAGTTTTTTTTTTTTTTTGCTTGATAACAAGAAATCTCTCCATCGGAACATACGTGTATATACGTATAATTTATGTATGACTTGCTAAACTAATTCTTCCCAGTTCTGTATATATTTCATCCAAGTTTACTACCGTGAAAACATACCTTTAAGCTCATCTTCAAGGTCCAGCTCTCTCTTCAACATATTTATTCTCCCCCCTCCCTTCCAAAAGGCATAAACTTTCTTTGTATAACCTTCTACGACCAACACTTTCCCTGGACCCCAACCCAGATTATAAATTTCTCTCCCATTTCGTGCATTATTTCCGTTATTTCTTTACTCTATTTTAAATAGCTCCTTTATTCTATTCTTTCCTATTTGTCCACTATTTCATTTTAGCTTAACCATCCGAGCTAGTCATAAGAGTGAGAGTAAATATCACACATCTAGTCATTGCAAAGCAGGTTGAATAATGGGACAGTTTAGCAGAGTTTCCCCTCTCTGAGCTCCCACTGTGAAAAGAAAACCTTAATTACCTTTAATGCCTAACTTAAGTATTTCTACGTTAATTACAATACGTACTACACTTACGATTTCTTCTCTACTTCAAAATATGAACACAGGTTCAAACACACACACACACACAGGACGGATAGGGGGGACATGTTAACGACATATAAAATACTGCGAGAAATCGACAAGGTGGACATAAACAGGATGTTCCAGAGATGGGACACAGCAACAAGGGGACACAGTTGGAAGTTGAAGACTCAGATGAATCACATTGATGTTAGAAGCATTTCTTCAGGCACAGGGTTGTCAGGAAGTGGAATAGTCTGGGAAGTGATGTAGTGGAGGCAGGATCAATACATAACTTTAAGAAGAGGTATGATAAAGCTTATGGGGCAGGGAGAGAGTGGACCTAGTATGACCAGTGAAGAGGCAGGACCAGGAGCTATGAATCAACCCCTGCAACCACAATTAGGTAATTACTGATGATTTTTAATGAGACCAAAGACTATCACGAGTATACCAAATGGTGGTTGACTGAGACCAGATAGTGGTTGATAAGACCAGATGGTGGTTGATAAGACCAGATGGTGGTTGACTGAGACCAGACAGTGGTTGATGAGATCAGATGGTGGTTGATGAGGCCAGACAGTGGTTGACTGAGACCAGATTGTGGTTGACTGAGATCAGATGGTGGTTGACTGAGATCAGATGGTGTTTGACTGAGGCCAGATGGTGGTTGACCGAGACAAGATGGCGGTTGACTGAGGCCAGATGGTGGTTGACTGAGACCAGATAGTGCTTAACTAACACCAGATGGTGGTTAACTAAGGCCAGATGGTGGTTGACTGAGATCAGATGGCGGTTGACTGAGGCCAGATGGTGGTTGACCGAGACAAGATGGCGGTTGACTGAGGCCAGATGGTGGTTGACTGAGACCAGATAGTGCTTAACTAACACCAGATGGTGGTTAACTAAGGTCCGACGGTGGTTGACTGAGGCCAGATGGTGGTTGACTGAGACCAGATGGTGGTCGACTGAGACCAGATGGTGGTTGACTGAGACCAGATGGTGGTCGGCTGAGACCAGATGGTGGTTGACTGAAGCCAGATGGTAGTTGACTGAGACCAGATGGTGGTTGACTGAACCCAGATGGTAGTTGACCGAGACCAGATGGTGGTTGACTGACACCAGATGGTGGTTGACTGAAGCCAGATGGTGGTTGACTGCGAACAGATGGTAGTTGACTGAGACCAGATGGTAGTTGACTGAGACCAGATGGTGGTCGACTGAGGCGATATGGTGGTTGAGACCAAATGGTGGTTGTTAGTGACAACGATGCATTGTTAGTGGCAATGATGGGTTGTTAGTGGCAATGATGGATTGCTAGTGGCAGTGATGGATTGTTAGTGGCAATGATGGATTGTTAGTGGCAGTGATGGGTTGTTAGTGGCAGTGACGGGTTGTTAGTGGCAGTGTGGATTGTATGGCATGATGGTTGTTAGTGGCAGTGATGGGTTGTTATGGGCAGTGACGGGTTGTTAGTGGCAGTGAAGGGTTGTTAGTGGCAGTGAAGGAGTGTTAGTGACAATGATGGGTTGTTAGTGGCAATGATGGGTTGTTAGTGGCAATGATGGATTACTAGTGGCAGTGATGGATTGTTAGTGGCAATGATGGATTGTTAGTGGCAGTGATGGGTTGTTAGTGGCAATGATGGGTTGTTAGTGGCAATGATGGATTGTTAGTAGTAGGGATGGGTTGTTAGTAGCAGTGGGTTGTTAGTGGCAATGATGGATTGTTAGTAGCAGGGATGGGTTGTTAGTAGCAGTGGGTTGTTAGTGGCAATGATGGGTTGTTAGTGGCAGTGATGGATTGTTAGTGGCAGTGATGGATTGTTAGTAGCAGGGATGGGTTGTTAGTGGCAGTGATGGATTGTTAGCGGCAGTGATGGATTGTTAGTAGCAGTGGGTTGTTAGTGGCAATGATGGGTTGTTAGTGGCAGTGATGGATTGTTAGTTGCAGGGATGGATTGTTAGTAGCAGTGGGTTGTTATTGGCAATGATGGGTTGTTAGTGGCAATGATAGGTTGTAAGTGGTAGTGATGGGTTGTTAGTGGCAGTGATGGGTTGTAAGTGGCAGTAATGGGTTGTTAGTGGCAGTGATGGGTTGTTAGTGGCAGTGATGGGTTATTAGTGGCAGTGATGGGTTGTTAGTGGCAGTGATGGGTTTTTATTGGCAGTGATTGGTGGTTGACTGAGACGAGATAGTGGTTAATGAGACCAGATGGTGGTTGACTGAGGCCAGATGATGATTGACTGAGACCAGATGGTGGTTGAGACCAGATCGTGGTTGATGAGACCAGATGGTGGTTGATGAGACCAGATGGTGGTTGATGAGACCAGATGGTGATTGATTAGACCAGATGGTGGTTGATGAGACCAGATGGTGGTTGACTAAGACCAGATGGTGGCTGACTGAGAACAGATGGTGGTTGACTAAGGCCAGATGTTGGTTCACAGAGACCAAATGGTGGTTGATGAGACCAGATGATGGTTGATGAGACCAGATGGTGGTTCCGAAACCACACAGACCAAAGGACGGATAAACAATGTCTTAACTTTAATTACTAAGCTGTTATTCGTAAACTACCATGTACAGTCACTAACAACCCATCACTGCCACTAACAACCCATCACTGCCACTAACAACCCATCACTGCCACTAACAACCCATCACTGCCACTAACAACCAATCACTGCCACTAACAACCCATCACTGCCACTAACAACCCATCACTGCCACTAACAACCAATCACTGCCACTAACAGTCCATCACTGTCACTAACAACCCATCACTGCCACTAACAACCCATCGCTGCCATTAACAACCCATCACTGCCACTAACAACCCATCACTGCCACTAACAACCCAACACTGTCACTAACAACCCATCATTGCCACTAACAACCCTTCACTGCCACTAACACTCCATCACTGTCACTAACAACCCATCACTGCCACTAACAACCCATCACTGTCACTAACAACCCATCACTGCCACTAACAACCCATCACTGTCACTAAAAACCCATCACTGTCACTAACAACCCATCACTGCCACTAACAGTCCATCACTGTCACTAACAACCCATCACTGCCACTAACAACCCATCACTGCCACTAACAGCCCTTCACTGCCACTAACAACCCATCACTGTCACTAAAAACCCATCACTGTCACTAACAACCCATCACTGCCACTAACAGTCCATGACTGTCACTAACAACCCATCACTGCCACTAACAACCCATCACTGCCACTAACAGCCCTTCACTGCCACTAACAACCCATCACTGTCACTAACAACCCATCACTGCCACTAACAACCCATCACTGCGACTATTAACCCATCACTGCCACTAACAACCCATCACTGTCACTAACAACCCATCACTGCCACTAACAACCCATCACTGCTACTAACAACCCATCACTGCCACTAACAACCCATCACTGTCACTAACAACCCACCACTGCCACTAACAACCCATCACTGCCAATAACAACCCATCACTGCCACTAACAGCCCATCAATGCCACTAACAACCCTTCACTGCCACTAACAACCCATCACTGTCACTAACAGCCCATCACTGCCACTAACAACCCATCACTGCTACTAACAACCCATCACTGCCACTAACAACCCTTCACTGCCACTAACAACCCATCACTGCCACTAATAATCCATCACTGCCACTAACAACCCTTCACTGCCACTAACAGTCCATCACTGTCACTAACAATCCATCACTACCACTAACAACCCATCACTGCCACTAACAACCCATCACTGCCACTAACAACTCTTCACTCCCACTAACAACCCTTCACTCCCACTAACAACCCTTCACTGCCACTAACATCCCAGCACTGCCACTAACAACCCATCACTGCCACTAACAACCCATCACTGCTACAACACCCATCACTGCCACTAACATCCCAGCACTGTCACTAACAACCCATCACTGCCACTAACAACCCATCACTGCCACTAACAACCCATCACTGCCACTAACAACCCGTCACTGCCACTAACAACCCATCACTGTCACTAACAACCCATCACTGCCACTAACAACCCATCACCTCCACTAACAACCCTTCACTGCCACTAACAACCCATCACTGCCACTAACAACCCATCACTGCCACTGACAATCCATCACTGCCACTAACAACCCATCACTGCCGCTAACAGTCCATCACTGCCACTAACAATCTATCACCGCCACTAACAACCCTTCACTGCCACTAACAGTCCATCACTGCCACTAACAACCCATCACTGCCACTAACATCCCAGCACTGCCACTAACAACCCATCACTGCCACTAACAACCCATCACTGCCACTAACAACCCATCACTGCCACTAACAACCCGTCACTGCCACTAACAACCCATCACTGCCACTAACAACCCATCACTGCCACTAACAACCCATCACCTCCACTAACAACCCTTCACTGCCACTAACAACCCATCACTGCCACTAACCCATCACTGCCACTGACAATCCATCACTGCCACTAACAACCCTTCACTGCCGCTAACAGTCCATCACTGCCACTAACAATCTATCACTGCCACTAACAGCCCTTCACTGCCATTAACAACCCATCACCGCCACTAACAACCCTTCACTGCCACTAACAGTCCATCACTGCCACTAACAATCCATCACTACCACTAACAGCCCTTCACTGCCACAAACAACCCATCACCGCCACTACCAACCCTTCACTGCCACTAACAGCCCATCACTGCCACTAACAACCCATCACTGTCAATAACAATCCATCACTGTCACTAACAGTCCATCACTGCCACTAACAATCCATCACTGCCACTAACAACCCATCACTGCCACTAACAATCCATCACTGCCACTAACAACCCATCACTGTCACTAACAATCCTTCACTGTCACTAACGGTCCGTCACTGCCACTAACAATCCATCACTGCCAATAACAATCCTTCACTGCCACTAACAATTCATCACTGCCACTAACAACCCATCACTGCCGCTAACAGTTCATCACTGCCACTAACAGTCCATCACTGCCACTAACAATCCATCACTGCCACTAACAGTCCATCACTGCCACTAACAGTCCATCACTGCCACTAACAGTCCATCACTGCTTCACGGTATCTGATCTTCAACCATTTTTCTCTGTAATGGACTGGTTGGCGAAAAGTCTCCATTGTATAGATACCCAAGTGTTGCACAAGTGTCACACACACACACACAGACAGGATGTTCCAAAGATTGGACACAACAACAAGGGGACACAGTTGGAAGTTGAAGACACAGATGAATCACAGGGATGTTAGTAAGTATTTCTTCAGCCACAGAGTAGTCAGGAAGTGGAATAGTTTGGGAAGCGATGTAGTGGAGGCAGGATCCATACATAGCTTTAAGCAGAGGTATGATAAAGCTCACGGTTCATAGAGAGTGACCTAGTAGCGACCAGTGAAGAGGCGGGGCCAGGAGCTTGGACTCGACCCCTGCAACATCAACTAGGCGAGTACAACTGAGTACACACACACACACACACTGGCGAGTTTTCCTAGGCACCCGTAATACATCCAGTCTTTATTGACTCTAATCTCACCTCCCTCATTATCTTTGTCTTATTTGTCACTTTCTTTATCCTTGCCCTTTCAAAGATTTTTCTTGCCTTATCAAACTTCCTTGATTTATCAAGTTGTAAACTATCAATTTCTTAATTCTCATCCATCTTTTCTTTTTCTATTAAGCTCGTGATTAGAGCTGTTGCTTACCCATTAACAAACTTTTGTTTTCTCTTTCGTCCATACTAACGGCCTCTTGCTATGTAATCACTTTCTTACAGATGCCTAGTCCAAAATCGCTCCTCCCCCCACAACCATTTTTTTTTCCAAATTCCGCTCCTGGAATAATGAAAGGGATGCTTCTGTCCCATTAGTCAATGGTAACTTAATGCTCAACTCTCCTAGTCACCACATCAATGGCTGCCTCATCTCACTAAGTAATTTTTAATATGATTTTCTTAATGTTTACACAATGCGACCGACACCAAGTCTGAATAACCTCGTACACACATTGTAAGGTTTAATTTCAATGTCTATACTCCTTCCATCCTCCTATGTCTGAAATTTATCCCCCCCCCCTCCTTCCCTCTAAATATATGCCAACTGGTAGGCACTACAAAACAAAAAAACATGTAATTCAAAAATAGATTTCGATTACGTCTATTGGCTGTGACCCCATCCCCCCATGCACTGTGATAGAGGACGTGGCTCCCACACTATCAGGACCCGGTTAGAGTTCCAGCGTAAGCAATGTCATCTCAGCTAGCTTGGTACACTGGATACAGGTAAAGCTAGAGGAAAAAATGTAAACACCGTTATCTCAGCT